GGATCTGGACAGACTATGGAAGTGGGCAGGAGACAACAGGATGGCATTCAATGTGGATACGTGCAAGGTCTTGCACTTGGGGCATAGGAATAGGTGTCATAAGTACATGTTAGGTGACAAGTGGCTGGAGAGCAGCACTTGTGAAAGGGACCTCGGGGTGCTGGTTGACTGCAGGCTATACCTGAGTCAGCAGTGTGATGCAGTGGTCAAAAGGGCGAACGCCACCCTTGGTTGCATAGCCAGAAGTGTGGCTTCTAGATCAAGAGAGGTATTACTACCACTCTACAGGACTCTGGTGCGCCTGCAATTGGAGTATTGTGCACAGTTTTAGGCCTCTCATTACAGAAACATAGGAAACAGAGCGAGTCAGAAGGGGCCTCCCAGGCCATCTAGTCTGACCTCCGGCACCAGCCGGCTCCGCTTACGACATGCCCACCATGTGGACGTCCAGCCTATCCTTGAACACCCGCACCGATGGGGCCTCAACAACCTCCCGGGGAAGCCCATTCCACACCCTCGGGGTCCTCACTGTCAGGAAGTGCTTCCGGGCATCCAAATGGAACCTTGGCTCCCTGAGCTTTGCTCCGTTGGAGCACATCCTGCCTTCCTCTGCAGGGTAGAACAGGCCTCTACCCATCTCCGTATGACATCCCCTCACCTACATGTATGTCGCCAACATATCCCCTCTGAGTTTCCTCTTCTCCAGGCTGAAGAGACCCAGTTCCCTCAGTCTCGCCTCATACCCCATCCCCTGCAAACCTTGTGGCCCTACGCTGCACTGACTCCAACCTGGCTATATCCTTTCTGTAATGAGGGGCCCAAAACTGAGCACAATACTCCAGTTGCGGGCGCACCAGAGTCATGTAGAGTGGTAGTAATACCTCTCTTGAAGTAGAAGCCACACTTCTGGCTATGCAACCAAGGGTGGCGTTCGCCCTCTTGACCACTGCATCACACTGCTGACTCATGTTTAGCCTGCAGTCAACCAGTATCCCGAGGTCCCTTTCACAAGTGCTGCTCTCCAGCCACTTGTCACCTAACCTGTACTTATGACACCTATTCCTATGCCCCAAGTGCAAGACCTTGCACGTATCCACATTGAACGCCATCCTGTTGTCTCCTGCCCACTTCCATAGTCTGTCCATATCCTTTTGGAACTGGAGTACCTGCTCCTCAGAAAGAATATAGCCAGGTTGGAGTCAGTGCAGCATAGGGTAACAAGGTTGGTGGCCGGTTTGCAGGGGATGGGGTATGAGGCGAGACTGAGGGAACTGGGTCTCTTCAGCCTGGAGAAGAGGAGACTCAGAAGGGATATGTTGGTGACATACATGTATGTGAGGGGGTGTCACACAGAGATGGGAAGAGGCTTGTTCTCCCCTGCAGAGGAAGAAAGGACACGCTCCAACAGAGCCAAGCTCAAGGAACCAAGGTTCAGTTTGGATGCCAGGAAGCTCTTCCTGACAGTCAGGACCCCGAGGGTCTGGAATGGGCTTCCACGAGAGGTCGTTGAGGCCCTATCGGTGAGGGTGTTCAAAGATAGGCTGGATGTGCACATGGTGGGCATGTGGTGAGCGGAGGCGGCTGGTGCCGGAGGTCAGACTAGATGGCCCGGGAGGCCCCTTCTGACTCACTCTGTTGCTCTGTTTCTATGTTTCTATAACCTTGGTTCATTTCTGAACTTGCTGTGTGATTCACAAACGCATCCTCTTCCCACAAAAGGTGGGGAGAAGCATTCTACAGCATGTGCACAATGGAAAAATGCACACAAATGCACTTTGGGGGAAGAATGACTTTTCAAAAAGGTGCATAACTGGTGCACAGATGTGGAGAAATAAACACGCAAATACATGCAGATTTTCATATAAAAAGAAGGCAAAGCAGAGCTGATGAGCTGATACAGACCTGACTCTGAACAAGCTACAGGGTGGAATTTGAAGAGCTTGTGTTTTCCTGATTTACACATCCTGACACTGGACAGAGGGGCTATCTGCACTGGGAGGGGTGAGCTCCCTTTCTCCAGAGGCATTTAAGCAGAGGCCAGGCAGGTGATGCTGTAGCTGCAAGGTTCCTGCACTGAGTAATGGGGTTGGTCTAGAGGGCCCTTCCAGCTCTAACATTGCACAATTCCAATTGCCAAGCAGTTATTGTGCACAATGTATGGACATTCTGTAGAGAACGTGCCCGTCTCTCATAGATTCATCTGGTTCTGGTTCTGGTTCTGATGGAGGAGGAGGAGGATCTGGGAGGGTGAGGACTTTGAAGTTTGAGGATTCCCTGGTGAAGGTTCTTGGGCAGAGCATGAGAATCAGCATGCTTGGAAAGGGGTGGAAGGGTTTTCAGATGGGAGGGGGAGCAGATACAAGACCCAGTCCTTGACCCAGTGAGGAGGAAACAGGAGAGATGAGCTGCCCAGTTAAATGGTCTCTGACATTCCTGCTGCCTAGCCCCGAAGCAACAAGAGCCACCCTGAGGGTGGAGGCACAAGATCTACTAAAGTGAGGGACTGGGGGAAAGCTTCCAGCTTGGATTCAAGCTGTCATGAGCTGGTCCCTTCCCTCTTTCCTTCTGGTTATCAGACTCAAGCCAGCCTTTTGAAGTACCATTCTTTTGTTGCGACTGAACAGACTGTAGATTTTTATGAACTTAAAAAGAGCCTTCTGCCAAAGTTGAGGGGAAAGTATCTGCCCATGCCAAGGACTGATCTGGAAAACGTCAGTCTGATGTGGAAATGGCAGGTCAGTTTTAAAGTAATCCAAACCCATTTCAGCATGTTGTGGATTTCTCTGACATTCCTATGAGTAGTTAGTTTTGCCAAGGACAACTTCCTCAGAATCATGTACTTGGTGCAGTTGGGGTAGGCAACTTGGCCCACTCTAGATGTTTTGGACTGCAATTCCCACAATCCCTGACTGCTGGCCATGCTGTCTGCAGCTTCTGGGGGCTGTGGTTCCAAGCACTGGGGCCTAGCCTTGATATAGAGCATGGGTCCTCAAACAAAGGCCCGGGGGCCAGATCTGGCCTGCCATACCCATTTAGTTCCCCCGTGACCATGCATGCGCCCACCTCGCCCCGCACGCAGGGAGGCAGCGGTTTGCTCACTTGGAGAAAACGATCTCCAAGTGAACAAGCTGCTGCTTCATGCACCTGCCTCCCCTCCCCTCGCCGTGCATGCCCGCCAGCCCTCACCTTGCCTCACTATGTGCCCTGCCCCCACCTCAGTGCATGTGCCCTCACACACCGCCCCTGTTCCCTTGCCAGCCCGTGTGCACCGCCAGCACTACCTTTCCGGCCCGTGCCCAGCACTGGCACTTTTCAACTGGTCCCCTGCTGAAAAAGTTTGAGGACCCCCAATATAGAGGAATCCTGTAATA